TTTCTTATAATATAAAAACAAATACTACAAAAAGATAATTCTTATTTTCAAATTTTATTATCTATAATTATTTTTTTTAATATTTTTGTATTTTAAAAAAATAAATTAAAGCTAAATAAATACAATAATACACTTGTATTAGCCTATAATTTAAGAGATAATATTTTATATAATAATAAATTTGTAAATCTTTACTAGCTATAAAGCTAGTATAACAGATTACATCTGAGTACTCTAGTAATAGCTAGATAATGTCAAGTTTAAAAAATTAAGTAGATTTTAAAATCATAGTTAATAACTTAATAAAGTTTATGATATTGTTACAGATAGTATAGCCTTCTTAGTACACTATAAGTAACAGTGATATGGCTATCTAATTACTTTAAGAAGCAGTATTCAAGAGAGAAGTTTCTTTAACTAATTGTAAAGACAAGTTCTACTTTACAAGAGATAGTCTATTTAGATTTATTTAATAACAATATATTTATTAATTATAAATATTTAGAGTCAAGTACAAGAGGAGAAGGGGAGTTGAAATCTAAACAACTAAAAGATAAGAGGAGGAATTCTACTTGTATTTATAACTTTTAGTAAGTGTTATGTAAGTGTTAGCAAAGTATCATGTAAATAACTTATACAAGCGTCACTTAAGCATTCGTGCAAGTAACAGTTAAATGTCACTATTAATAGTTTAGCACAGTAAGAGGCACAGTAAGAGGTACAGTTTAGCATAGTCTGGCACTTTTTTTTGGCACAGTTCAGCATAGTATTGGTACAGTATTTGGCACAGTTTTAGTACAGTTCTTAGCAAAGTATTCAGTACAGTTCAGCATAATGTTTAACACAGTCTAGTACAATTTTGGCACAGTATTTTTTTTACTACGGCCTATGTTTTCTCCAGATGTTATATAATAACTTCAGATGTAACTTATATTATCATATAGCTAATCTTCTTGGCTACAAAATTACTTAAGAGTATTTTTCGCTATGATCGCTTCTTGAGTTATTTTATTTAGAGGTGAATGTTTACAACGATTTTCTCTACTCTAAAATATCTATACTAAAATAATACAATATAAGAAATAACTAAATACTAATAGATGTAATTAATAATATAACTAAAATATAATAATAAAATAATAATAAAAATAACTAAAAATCTATCCTATAACAATATGACTATTAAAGAAAAAAAAAATTTGTAAATTCTTATATTTTTGTTTCTAATTTTAAAATATCTTAAGATCTACTAAACTAATTTTAATAATTTAATTATATTAGAGTTAAAAAAAACTTTTTTAATAAGTTTTTTTAAAGCTAAAAGAAATTTTTATCTAATAGAATTTTTTTTAATCTTTAAAAAATTATTTTAACTATTTATATTATTAATTAAATAAGTTATTTGTTTGATTTAAAGAATATATAGTAAATAAAAAAAAATTAAAAAACTTTAGCTTATGATTATTTTTTAACTACTTTAATATTTAAACTTATAATTTTATAAAAAAATATTAAAGAATATAAGTTAAATTTTAAGTAAATTAAAAAAAATTTTTTTATTAAAATTTATATATAAATTGAAATAAATTATTTTATTTAATTTAGATATTTAAAATAGTTAAATAAGTTTAGAATTAAATAAAGAAAATAGATATATAGCTAATTTAGATTAGTTTATATTTTTGTTATAATATTATATATATTTTTTTTTTAATAAATAAAAAGCAAATTATCTAAGTTAAAAAAAAAAGAATATAACTAATTTTAACTACTGATTAATTAACCACTCTATTATTATAAAAGTTTTTTTTATAAGTAAACTATTTTTTGAGATTAGGGTTAGGGTAAGGCTTATATTAGAGTTAGGGTATGTATTTATATGCAAAATTAGACGCTGAAAACTTTTACTTAAAAGCCCAAAACTAGTTTTTATAATAAAATTTTGAGATATTTACGATTTTTAATATTTTTCTTAAATTTTATACGTTTTTGTTACACAAGATCCTGCGATATGATTGGCGAATTATATAGGGTGGTTAATTCACCACGGGGGCAAGTTAGCAACATTCAAAAAAAAAAACTATTTTTTTTAAAAAAAAAAGAAAAATAGATTTTATAATAAATCTTTTTAAATTAATATTTGACAAATTTTTAATAATAATGTTTAATTAGTATTTTTAATTAAAAGTTATATAAAAATTATATAATATTATTAAATAAAATTAACTAATTTTTATTTTAGATAATAATTATTTATAATTATTATTATAACTATACAAAATAAACAAAGAAACAAATAAAAATATTTTTTCTTTGACTTTAGAGTTAAGGCTCAAAACTCATATTAACATAGAATTCCAATTCGGATAAATCTGTTATCCATTTATCCATATTCAAATTTATTTGGATATATTGATATCCGGATATTAATAGTAAATAGATATTTGGATAAATTCAAATTTGGATATCTGATGAATAAATAGATTATGAATTGAAACTCTAGTTTAGCAAAGTATATAGTAGAATTTCGCAAAGAATTTTTTTTATTTAGACTTCAAAAATAGTTTCATAAGCAAAATTTTATTATAGGTGATGATTACCTATGATGTAAATTAGCGAAAAAAAAAAAATTTTACAAGAAAATTCTAGAAAAAAATTTTCAAAAAATTTTTCTGTACTATATTTTTAATAATAATTGAGATAATATATTAGTAAATTAAATTTAGTATAGTAATATTTATTCTAAATCAAAAATATTATACAAAAATTTGTTCTTTTTATACTTTAATAATGACTTTTATTAGGTATTTCAAATGAAAAGAAAGAAATAAAATAAAATCACTTAAAAAAATTGCCGTTCTTTTCTAATTTCAATACCAACTCTAACACACTAATAATTATTACGTGTTTGCAAAATTTTTGTTTAATCAATTTCTATGTCATAAAAAACGTATTCCGTATTATATTATTACTTCAATAAAGCAATTAATAATTATATACTGTAGTAATCTTTTAAAAAGTATTTTATGTTATAACTTACTGTATTTAATTTATACTTAACCTTTTTGAATTGTAAAATCATCGTTATTGTCTATTATTTGTATATTGCGTAACTGCTTGTCAAATGTTTTAACAGTTAAACAGTAATTTATCACAATTTTTTACATTATCATGATATACATTATCTATAACTTATGATTTTTTTTTTTTTACCAACTAATGATTTATCATTAAAATGAAAAAATGAACAGCATTCTCACATATCACCATGAGATTAGATTTACATTCTCTGACAGGTAGCAAGGATGAGCACTTACTAGTATATAAGAGGTTTAGAAGATATTGACATTAAAAATCATATAGAGTTTATAGTACTAAACCAGGAGACTGCTCTAAAGTTCGACGGTATAAAAAGTAGACGCTGGGGCAGTAAATGAAAGTGATCGCATGTGCGTATATCCTGAAAAAGTTTATACATAAAAAGTTTTAAAATGAATTTTATTAACCTTTCTTTAGAATAATCACATGTAAAGAATATTTATTTAATTTTTTTTTTTTTTTTTCAATTATTAAAATAATTTTGCGCCCAATTAAACGTTAAATTATAATTAGATTTTTGCACCACATGTTCAAGTTAATTTTTGTATCCTAAATAAAAGTATTGTTTAATTAGCTAAGCAAGACCCTGTTTAAAAATCATTTTTCGTCACATTTTCCCCTAAGGGAATAGTGTATCGATGATAGAGATGATCTTATTGCGTAAATTATACGAAACATTTAGGGAAGATCCGAAGATCATCTCACTAATATTAATTTGTTTGGCAGGTTTCGAGCACAAGTGTAACGAACTGCACATGGGAATCATCCGGGGTATAAATGAATGGATGCGCAGAAATTATGATCGAACATGCTGCAAGCAGTTGAAAATCAACATTATATACTCGGCAAATCAACAAGATGCTTAAATGTTTTCTCTTAGGTGCATCATTGCTTGATTGCATGAGACAATAACTATTTAAAATCATGTGATTATTATCGTTAAACATCGAGAGTTAGTGACAAGGTCGCTCAACAGATAGATCCGGAAATTATCACAACTGTTTACAGTCTTTCACACCATTTTCACGAGTTGATAATACGTCAGTTTAAAAAGTACACATTTAATAACGATAAGAATAGTACTTTATCCTTGGCTGATAAACAAAAAAAAAAAAAAAAATAATAATAATTATCACATCATCATTGCATCATGAGGTTTTCCAAAAAGAAGAGAAAAAAACTTATAAATAAGACGATGTCCTCTTTTAAATTTTAATAAAACTTTATTAATTAAAATTCTAAATTCTAAAAAGCAACTCATCAAAAAATTTATTATTACTACTATTATCAAATATTATCAACATGTCTAAGAAAGTTATTGTATGTCAAATCTCACCCGCTGCTTCTGAAAAAACAGGTTGAAAAAAAGTTTGCCTATATTATTATCTTCAACGTTTTTTTTTTACAATCTTTTATTTACATCGTTCTTATAAAAAAATTAGTTAAGGATTTTTTCTTGTTCTGTGGAAAGATTAAAGAATTTGAACTCATAAAGTAGGTTTCTTAATTTTAGGAAAAATCATTCTGATTATCCTGAAATATCTAATTGTGTTTAATTTATTTAAATAGGGAAGAAAGTAGCGATAAACAAATTGCTTATATTACATTTGAACGAGGTACGATATATATAAAAACTATTATCAAACCTTATTATTATCTAATATATTGTAACTTTTAACCTATACCTCAACCATATTATAGAAACTGCTGCAAAAACTGCTTTAATGTTGACAAATGCTGTTATTGGTGATTCTCAAATAACCGTCAAACCTTCTGATGGCCCTGCAGGCAGTGATGATGAAGGCCAATGTGATGAAGGTATAAGGCAAGAAGATAAGGTTAGAAATGATAAAAAAAAAGCATTGTTAATTTTATTTGTTAAGGAAATTTCAAACTTAATTATTATAATTTATTATGATAGCCAAAAACTGCCATTTTCGCAGAAATCTTGGCTAATGGATACACACTTCAAGATACCATTATTCAAAAAGGTATCGAATTTGATGGTTAGTATCTTATATTTCTTTTAATTCATTATTTTTTCTTACTCATTTGCTTACTAAAATTTTATAACTAAATAATTAGAAAAGTTCGGTATTAGCTCTCGTTTAGCCCAATACTTGCAAGCTATTCAAGAACAACGTAAGTTGTTGGATTCAGCAGGTTGTTATTGGGTTGTTATTGGTTCTTAATTGTGTTAAGAATATTTTTTTATGCATTGACTATTTTCAAATTCCAGTTCAATCATTTGATAATAAATATCACGTCTACGATACTGTCACCGGCAAGGCCACCGAAATCGATAATAAATTTTGTGTGCAAGATAGAGTGAAAAATGTAGCATCAACGATTCAAGATAGAGCTAATCAAGCTTTAGATACTCCTCCAGGCAAACAACTTTACGAATTTTACACGTCTACTACAAAACAAGTAGCTGATGTTCACAATGAAGCTCGAAGAATTGCTAACGAAAAGAAAGCCGCTCAAATTGTTGTTGATACCTCTGCTCAAGTGAAAGCTGAAACTCAATAAGACTAAAGATACATAAATCAATAGGATTACATTATTATATTAATATTTTTTTTATATATATTAATCTTGCTTTAAAAACATTTTTTTTTTTTTTTATCGAATAATATATTATTATTTTTGTTTTTTGTGTAATCGGTCTTGGATTAAAAAAAAAAAAAAAAAAGCAAATTTTTTTTAAAACCCATGTTTTTAACACATTAATATACTTTAGAAATTATTCTTTAATACATGTTTCTAAAAAGCTTTTGACAATTCGCATGTTTATTTATCGTTATAATAAACTCGCTTCGGCTCCTTTCTCTTAGATTTTAATAATTAACTGTTAAATAGTAGTTTTTTTTTCGTCATTTTGAATTTTACATATATTGAATATGATTGGGCTGCTAAAGGAATGCGCATTAATGATATAATTCGTCTATTTTGTAACTAGACAATATAGTCAATAAAGTCGTGTGTTTTAAGAAAAAATGTGATCATAGTTGAAAATCAAG